CTGCAGAGCCCGGAACAGATCCACGGCCGAGCGCCGTTCTCCTCCGCACTCGAACTCGTAGAGGATCCGCAGGAAATCCTCGTATTTCCCCGGAACGTTCTGCAGMGTCTCACGGACCTGGGGYASAAATTTGGGGTGAAAAACGGGGATTTTGGGATGGTTGGAAGTGGTTTGGGATGGTTGGGGTGTGGTGTTATTTGTAAAATCGTCGGTGTTTTCCTGGAATTTCTATGGTTTTCCACACAATTCTTGATATTTTCCCAAAATTCCTGATATTTCCCCAAAATTCCTGATATTTTCTCAAAATTCCTGACATTTCTCAAAAATTCCTATATTTTTCCCGAATTTCCCAATGTTTTCTGAAAATTCCCAGCATTTTCCTCAAAATTCCCGGCATTTTCCCCAATATTCCTGGCATTTTTCCTGAAATTCTCAATTTTTTTTCTGAAATTTCCAACATGATTCTCAAAATTCCTAATATTTTCCCAAATTTTGGGATTTTAAGAATGTTGGTGTCCCTCACCCTGCTCAGAACCCCCAAATATGGGGATTTTGGTTCTCACAACCCCCAAATTTTGGGATTTTTCCTTCTCTGGGATCCCTGACCCTGCTCAGAACCCCCGAATTTTACGATTTTGGTGCTCAGAAACCCCAAATTTTGGGATTTTTTTGCCCAGAATCCCCAAATTTTGGGATTTTGGTGTTCACAAATACAAAATTTTGGGATTTTGGTGCTCAGAATCCCCCAATTTTAGGATTTTGGTGCTCAGAACCCCAAAATTTCAGGATTTTCGTGCTCAGAACCCCTGATTTTTGCAATTTTTCTGCTTACAATCCCCGAATTTTGTGATTTTTTTGCCCAGAACCCCCCAAATTTGGGATTTTTGGGGATTTTGGGGTCCCTCACCCTGCTGAGGTAGGCCTGGGCGAATGCCAGGTCTTTCTGCTCCCGTTGGGGGTCTCTCTCCAGGATGTTTTCGTCGTAGAGCAGCAGCAGTTTCGAGGTGTCTTTGGTGCCCCGAGCGCGGCCCCGTTTGGGGCGGCTCCGGTGAGAAATGCGGCCCTTCCCGGGGGCTTTCGGGGGCTCTCCTGGGGGGAAATACAGTGAGAATTGGGGGGAAATCAGGGGAGAATACAGTGAGAATTGGGGGGAGATTGGGGGAAAATTGGGGAGAAATACAGTGAGAGTTGGGGGAATATTGGAGGGAAATTGGGTGGGAACTGGGGGGAAATCAGGGGAAAATTGGGTGAAAATTGGGGGGAAATTGGGGGAAGATTGGGTGGGAATTGGGTGGGAATTGGGGGGAAATTCAGTGAAAATTGGGTGGAGATCGAGTAAAAGTTGGGTGAAAATCGGGGGAAATCGGGTGGAAACTGGGGGGAATTGGGTAAGAACTGGGTGGAAATGGGGTAGAAATGGGGTGGAAATGGGGTGGAAATCAGGTGGAAATTTGGTAAAAAATGTGTGGAATTTGGGTAAAAATTTGGTGGAAACTGGGTGAAAATGAGCTGAAAATTGGGTGGAAATTGGGTGAAAGTCGGAGAAATCAGGTGGAAATTGGGTGGAAATAGGGGCAAAATCGGGTGAGAATTGGGGGACAATTGGGTGGAAATCGGGGGGAAAATGGGTGGAAATCAGGAAAAAGGGTGAGAATTGGGTGGAAGTTGGGTGAAAATCGAGGGAAAATTTGGGGAAAACCGGGGGAAAATCATGTAGAGATCAGGTGGGAATTGAATGAAGATTGAGTGGAAATTGGGTAAAAATGGGGTGGAAATTGGACGGAAATTGGGTGAAAATGGGGTGAAAATGGGGTCAAATTCAGGTGAAAATGGGGTGAAAAGCACAGCCCTCATCTGCTGGTATCCAAAACCCCACAGAACTCATCCAAAACCCCATAAAACTCACCCCAAACCCCACAGAACTCATCCCAAACCCCACAGAACTCACCCCAAACCCCATAAAAACCCCCAAAACCCCACCTGGAGTGACGGTGAGCGCCTCCACCCTGGCAGAGGCGGGCGGGGCGGCGCCGCGGGCGCATTTCGGGGCCGTGTCCTCGTCCCTGTGAGAACTCTCGGCTCCGTCCCCTTCGTCGTCGTCGTCGTCGTCGCCCTCCGAGTTCTCCTCCTGCGAGTTTTCCTCCTCGGAATCGCCCTCCTGGCTCAGCCGTCGCTCCGTGGCCAGCCATGTCAGCTTCTCCATCGTCTCCTGAAGGGAGAAAAAACCCCAAAAATATTTATTATTTAAATAAATTTGAACATATTTGAATAAACAAATATTTTAACGGACTCACTTGGTTTGGGCCCTGATCCCAAAAGATTCCCAGTGGGATTGGCCCCGATCCCAAAAAGATTCCCAGTTGGATTGGCTCCAAACTTTTTGGGATCCCAGTTGGATCGGCCCTGAACTTTTTGGGATTCCCAGTGGAATTGGCCCCTGACCCCATTAGGATTTGCACTGGGATTGGTCCCGATCCCATTGGGATTCCCAGTGGGATTGGCCCTGACCCTATTGGGATATCCAGTGGGATTGGCCCCAATCCTGTTGGGATTCCCAGTGGGATTGGCTGCAATCCTACAAAATTCCCAGTTGGATTAGCCCCAAACATATTGGGATTTCTAGTTGGGACTGGCCCAGATCCCAGGGGGGATTCCCAGTTGGATTGGCCCCAGACATACTGGGATTCCCAGTGGGACTGGCCCTGACCCCGCTGGGATTCCCAGCAGGATTCACTCTCACATGCTGGCATTGTGAGCCCATTGGGATTGGGCTTTTTGGGATTCCCAGTTGGATCAGCCCTGAACTTTTAGGGATTCCCGGTTGGATTGGCCCCAACCCTTCTGGGATTCCCAGCAGGATTGGCCCTCACCCCAATGGGATTCCCAGTTGGATTGGCCCTGATCCCAGAAAATTCCCAGTGGGACTGGACCCGACCCTATTGGGATTCCCAGAGGGATTGGTCCGAACTCCACTGGGATTCCCAGTGGGATTGACTGTGACCCCACCAGAACTGGCCCCTGACCCTAATGGGATTCCCAGTTGGATTTGCCCCAAATCTATTGGGATTCCCAGTGGGATTGGCCCTGATCCCATTTGGATTCCCAGCTGGATTGGCCCTGAACCTTTTGGGATTCCCAGTTGGATTGGCCCCAATCCCAGTGGGATTCCCCGCAGGACTGGCCCTGATCCCAGAACATTCCCAATTGGATTGGCCCTGACCCTATTGGGATTTCCACTGGGATTGGCCCCATCGCAGAAGATTCCCCGTGGGATTGGCCCTGACTCCACTGGGATCATCCCTGACCCCACTGGAACTGGCCCTGACCCCACTGTGCTCATCCCCAACCCCACAGTGCACCCCNGTGGGATTGGCCCTGACTCCACTGGGATCATCCCTGACCCCACTGGAACTGGCCCTGACCCCACTGTGCTCATCCCCAACCCCACAGTGCACCCCACAATCCCCCCAGCCACCATGACACCTCCCAACCCCGTTTCCCCTCACCTGCAGCTCCGGCACTGACAGCACCGACTCCTCGGAGGCCGATGACATCTCCTCATCCTCATCTTGAGTCAAATCATCGAAATCGTCGTCCTCCTCCTCCTCCTGTCCATCCCTGTCCATGGCAGCCTCGGGGCCGGCCGGCGTCCCCACAGACTGCCCGTCCGAGTCCTCGGGCCGGCCCGGGGGGCTGCTGAAGGCGCCGTCGCCCTCCGGCCATGATGGATTCCTGGGGGAATCGCCGCCCGGGGCTGGGGACGCTCCGCGGGGTGGGGACGGCTCCTCCTCGCCCTTCTCCTCCTTCTCGGGCTCCTCATCCCCGCAGGAACCAGCGGCCTCCATGCTCAGCTCCTGCCCCAGCTCCTTTTCCTTGCTTTCTCCACACAAAGCATCAATTTTGTGTCCCGCGGGAGTGGACGATGCTCCATCTTTGGCAGCGTCGTTCGACTCTTCCGCTTCCATTTTCGCCGTTTCCTCGGGGTTTTCCAAGCGAGGCAACAGCTCCACAGAGCTTCCTCCATCTCCTTCAGCCGCAGCCCAGCTCTCGCTGCCCTCATCCCGTCCTCCCTCACGCGCCGCGGCGGCGTCCATCGCTCCCTCCTCCTCCTCCTCCTCCTTTTTGRYGTGAACCAGCAGCTCTGAGGGCTCRGCCATGGCGGCGGGAGTTGGGACCAGWCCCATCTTCTCCTCTCCCTCCCCCACAGCGGCCGCCGGGATCCCCACGGGGCCGGGCGACACCAGCAGCGACGGGATGGACGAGGTGACCAAAGGCTGGCTCAGCGGGCAGGGGAATGGCGCGGGATTGACCAGCAGGGTGGTGACGGGGATGGCCTGAGCGCCGTGGCCCACGGTGGCACCGAGGGGCTGGAGGACRTTGCAGCCGCTGCCGATGTTGAGCACTTTGACGGTGGCGGCGGGGACGGTCAGGATGACAGGGGATGGCTGCAGGACGGGCGAGGCTTTGAGCACCGGTGTGGATTTTGTCCCTTTTTTCCTTTGGTAGCCTTTCCTCCCGCCGGCTCTGCGCGCTTTGGGCCCGGCCAGCGCCGGCAGCATCAGCTTGGGCTGGAACGGCTCTGTGGCCACCAGAGCCGGCGCGGTGGCTACCGGGAAAGGCTGCCTGGAGTCTGGCTGGGCGGGTGGGAGAACCTTCTGGAACTCCAATCCATCTCCTGCTGCCAGCACGGCGGGGACAGCGAGGGGCTGCACCCCCGGGACTCCTGACACCCCTTGGACCCCTGACACCCCCGGGACCCCCGGGACTCCTGGGACACCCGGTACTGCTGACACCCCTGAGACCCCTGGGACTCCCGACACCCCTGGGACCCCCGGGACTCCCGGTACTGCTGACACCCCTGAGACCCCCGACACCCCTGGTACACCCGGTACTCCTGACACTCCTGGTACACCCGGGACCCCTGACACCCCTGTCACCCCTGGGACCCCCGGTACTCCTGACACCCCTGAGACCCCCGATACGCCGGGTACACCCGGTACTCCCAGCACCTCTGACACCCCTGTCACCCCTGACACCCCCGATACCCCGGGTACACCCGGTACTCCTGGTACCCCTGACACCCCAGGCACCCCTGGCACTCCCAGCACCTCTGTCACCCCTGACACCCCCGATACCCCCGGTACCCCTGTAACCCCTGACACCCCTGGCACCCCCGGTACCCCTGACACCCCCGATACCCCGGGTACACCCGGTACCCCTGACACCCCTGACACCCCCGGTACCCCGGGCAGCGCGGGCTGAATGGGCCGCGGCAGCTGCAGCAGCACCTTGCGGGGTGGAGTCGCCTCGCTTTGGGGCGTTTTTGGGGTTTTTTGGGCGGTGTCGGGACTGGGTTGCATGCAGGGGTTGGGCCGGATCAGGACGGGTTTGAGCGATGATGAGCGCTGTCTCCTCCAGGTTCTCCTGGGAAATCTGTTACCCAAAGGTTTGAGGGTGAGCACCAGTCCCTTGGGCATCAGCAGAGGGTATTTGTCGTCCTTCTCYGCGGCGGGAGGGTCCTGTTCTGACCCCAAAACAGCGGGGTCAGGCTGGGCAGAGCTCGGGCGCTCCTTGGCATCCTCTGCCAGCTGCTTCAGCTCCCGCTGGATGGACGGCAGGCTGGCCTGGAGACAGAAAAAATTCATTTTAGTTTATTATTACTATTATACTTTACATATRTAAAACATACTTACTTAATATGTATGTATTTATAATTTCATATATATACATATGTTTTATTATACACATTTTATGTATCTATATATTAGTACACCATATATAAATATAAACATTGTTATTTATTACATTTACATATATACATTTTCTACACCTATATATTAACATATTATTTATATTAACATATTATTTATTATACATATTCACATTAAAAGGAAACAAAAATTTATTATTACTTCCATATTTCTATATATGCAAAACATATTTATTTGTTATATATATTTACAAATTAATATATTTATTATGATTGCAKATATATATATTCATTATATACATTYTATTTATCAATACATTCATATACCATATACAAATATATATGTTTATTTATTATATAAAATTACATATAAAGGGAACAAAAATTTTAGAGTTTTTCTAGGGTTTTTCAGCATTTTTTGGGGATTTTTTTAGGGTTTTTTTAGAGTTTTTTTAGGGTTTTTTAGTGGTTTTTTAGGGTTTTTTAGTGGTTTTTTTAGGGTTTTTAAGTGGTTTTTTAGGGTTTTTTAGTGGTTTTTTTAGGGTTTTTTAGGGTTTCACTCACCTTTAACCAGAAGGGCAGGCGATGCTCCTCCATCTCCACGGGCGCCTTCCACTCGTGGGGCTCAATTTCCTCACAGCATTTCAACAGCACCGGCAGCTGCTTCGTCTTCCTGTAGTACTGAAACAGCAAATTTCAGTAATTAACTCCATTAATTAATTAAAATTAATTAAAATATTTAAATAACAATTATTAAATCATTATAAAGCCTTTTTTTTCACAAGGTGCACCAGCACTGGCAGCTGCTTGGTCTTCTTGTAGTGCTAGGGACGCACAAAAACATCAAATTTMTACCCTAAATTAAATAATTTAGTTAATTATATTTAATTATAATATTGAAAACAATTATTAAATAATTATTTGAATAATTATCTTGAATTATTCAATTTTTTCCCATTAATTTCTTTTTCTTCTTTTTTTTATTAATTTTTTCTATTTTTTCTATTTTTCTACTAATTTCTTCTATTAATTTTTTCTATTTATTTTTTCTGTTAATTTTTTTCTATTAATTTTTTTATAGTTTTTTTCTGTTAATTTTTTCTATTTTTTTTTCTATGAATTTTTTCTACTATTTTTTTCTATTAATTTTTTTCTATTGGTTTTTTATTAATGTTTTCTTATTTTTTCTATTAATTTTTTCTAGTAATTTTTTTCTATATTTTCTATTGATTTTTTTATTAATATTTTTCTAATATTTTTTCTATAATTTTTTTTTTTCTATAATTTTTTCCCCAAATCCCTTTTCCCACCCCATTTTTCCTCACCCTGACGATGTTGTCGGGAGCGCGGTTCATGTTGAGGTTTTTGATCCGCACCGTCAGCTGATGGGCGCTCTTGGTGGGCAGCAGGAATTTACTGATCAGGGCCTTGGGAAACTCCGTCCCCTCAAAATGTTTCAGCCCCAGGGCCAACAAACTGTGCAAAAAAAAAAAAAATCAAATTATTATACATTTCGTACAAAAAAAAATCAATTTTATACAAAAAAATTTTGATTTTATACAAAAAAAATTCAATTTTATACCAAAAAAATCACAATTTTCTACAAAAAAAATTCATTTTTTTTACAAAAATCAATCCCATTTTTTC